ACTCTCTAAAAACCTAAGATAGGGGGTTTTCAACTTGGGGGTCATTTTAAAAATTTTAGGGGTAAGGAGACGCTATGTGGTCTAGCATAAAATATTTGGACGATAATAATTTATGACGTTCTATTCTGTCAGGCTATACTCTCTAAAAACCTAAGATAGGGGGTTTTCAACTTGGGGGTCATTTTGAAATTTTAGGGGTAAGGAGACGCTTTGTGGTCTAGCATAAAATATTTGGACGATTATAATTTATGACGTTCTATTCTGTCAGGCTATACTCTCTAAAAACCTAAGATAGGGGGTTTTCAACCTGGGGGTCATTTTGAAATTTTAGGGGTAAGGAGACGCTTTGTGGTCTAGCATAAAATATTTGGATGATTATAATTTATGACGTTCTATTCTGTCAGACTATACTCTCTGACATGAAAACGATTGCTGGGAAAACCTAAAAGCAAAAATCATGAAGTAGTAAGGATTTGTAGGGGGGAGAGGGGTATTGCAATCGATTAAGATGATAGCTTGTGGCATCACCAGTACATGACCTTGGTATAAATCTCGTTAGATTACCATGGAGACCCCAAAAATAATAACGAAACAAAATTGACCCTTCAAAAACTCGTGTGATATATTAGAATCTGTTTAATGGCACTATACTTGCAAATATCTGGTATAGCAAACAACTTTGATACTATTTGACCACTCTAAAACCTGTGTGTGATGTTTTTTTTGAAAATTTCTAGAAATCAAGAGAAAATATCGGGAGAGAAAGAAGATATAGACAGATCGCGGAGAATTCTAGTCAAAAGAAAACCTCCGGCAAATATTAATAAAAACTCCAAACACGATACCTTTATCAAGCCTGGAGAAAAACCGTAAGTTATCTTTATTTTGTGTAATCAAAGACGTAGAGGAACCAGACCCTTGCTGGCTAGTCTAGATGTCTTGAATTCCATCCTGAAGCAGTGATTGATCAGTGACTTAAACGCTTGCTCGCTAACCTGAAGGTCCAGGGTTCAAGCCCCAGCATAGTTCAAGATAATACCTTCAGATTTTTCAACCTGGTTTCCCCCTGTCAGTGAGTTAGACGCTTGCTTGCTAACCTGAAGGTCCAGGATTCAATCCCAGCATAGGTTGAGATAACACCTTCAGATTTTTCAACCCTGTTTCCCCCTGACAGTGATACAAGTAAGAGAGGCTGACATGGAAAAAGTGTCTAGTTGTTCAGATGGGACAATAAACCGAGGCCCCGTGTGCTACAGGCTGTACATGTTAAAATCCCTCGACAGTTGGAAATCGAAATAGAGTAGGCCTACACTGCTGTCCTGACAAAATTTCCCTCATTGCACACTGCATGGCGTAGGTTGGATGAGGGTTAAAGATCCCTGGACAGTTGGAAATTGATACTAATGACAAAATTTCCCTCAATGCACAATGCAAGGCTGCGTGATATTGGTTGGATGAGGGTTTATTGTCTTACAGATTAAAATTTAGGTAAAATAGTAATGGTAAAAT